TTCTCCCCTCTTTCCCAACTAAGATTACTTGCTTATCTTCAATACAGTCTATTGTGCCTTTTAACATTCCAGGTATACCTTCAATCCCTGGCATCGAAATATTTTCTAGAATTCCATCTGAACTATTTCCAAGAGGTTTACAAGAGACGTGCAGCTTCATGCTGCTCCCTTATGTACAGTGACAGCTTGCTGCTTAAGTGTGGAATTTTGGTTGCATCAGCCGTCTTATGAATGAAGTCAGCCTAAAGCCTAAACACCAATGGTTACCAGGACTCAGAAAGAGGGGTGGGGAGGGACATATTGGCACTTTTCATTACTTCTAGTCTTAATACTAAAACTCGAAAATCCACTGAGAAAAAAATTAAACATACCTGACTACATCTCACAAAATAAGCTTCATAAGTGTGGGTCGTAAAAACCAAATAAATGCTGTATCTTAATATTCCCCAGACTCTAATAACCCTTCTCCGGTGACTGTACAGAAATGACCTCATCCAACCACAGACCAAGAACAGCTTGCAATCAGCGTCAGATCACTCTACTGTCACACACCTTGAACATGTCTGGCATTATACAATATAAAGTCCTAATTTGTTCATGGTTTGTTTTCAGACATTAATCATTGCAACTTCTAGGATAATTTCAGACGTGAAACATTCAATTAAAAATTGACATTATAGGTTGAAACACATGACCAGGTTATGTTTAATTATTAATGACCGATGACCATATCAAAGGGTGACCATTAGCAATTCCTGATAAAATGCATTTAAATTTGAAGTCCAGTCTCAGAGCTAATAAATCAGTCAGCAGAGCAATCAGATGAGAATTTTATCTAAATGTCAGCTAAAGAGAGAAAAATTTTAATGTCATTGTTGGGCAATATATGACAGTGGTTGATTAAGATTAAATTAACATGCATAACAGTCTTACTTATTTGCCCAGTACACTCTAATATACAGTATACACTTTTTTTTTCTTTTTTGTTAAGTTTTGCTAATTTGGCATAAGAGAAAACTAAATAAAAATTCAATGTCATTCTTTCCCACTGTGATTTATTAATTGAATTCCAGAAGTGAAAGTACTTTCCCTTTAATTTTACTTCACTTCCCCTTCTCGGAAAAACTGCACTAAGCCGCCTTCTGCACTGTTTACATTTAAGCTATCGGTACCTAAACTGAGTTTTACAAGTATACTACCAACGAAGGTGGAGTATAATCAAACTCTGTCCAGGGTAGTATAAAATGCCAAAGAAAGGAAGCGTGCCAAATAAAAGATTTCTCTCACACCTAGACCTGAGTTATTGTTTGGAACTGCATTCAGCCAATAAGTACTCAGGCACCTGAGCAACCGTGTACAACTATGCAAAGCCCTGGAGATATGTCACTTGATCATTTGTAGTCTATTCGGGTAAAACCTTGACCCTGCTTGACCAGTTGTAAACAACTTTACAGGTACTGATATATTATATACTGTGTTATATAAACTGGGGACATGAATACAGCTATAAGCTTACAACAAGGCATTGTTCATGGATTGAGTTCAGTGGGTTTGGTATAAATAATGCAGATATTATGCACAGGTATATTTGTCAACATTTCCCATTTCTAATTCAGAATTTAAAAAAAAAGGCAAATTCCTGTTAAAAAAAAAAACAGACTTTTAACAAACCCATTTGCACTTAAAATGCAATATGCCCCCCTCTCCTCTTTCTCTTTTACTCTCTCTCTCCCTCTCCCCCACATACACACACAAACAAACAAAACGGAAAATGACCATTGTTACGTAACACATTCAATGAATTATTTAACTCCAGTGGACACATTGCGAGGGCAATGACCAGCACACAGAGAGCTGCTACCTGAGAGTTCACCTCCTGGGTCTGTGTATGAGAGAGTAAGAGCAATACCTGGAGTTTATAATTTGTATTCTTTATTTCTGAAATCTAAAAAAAATTACCGAGAGAAACTAATGAGACAAACATGTGGACAGACAATATTTTATTTTAAACAAAATATATAACAGACTAGCTCTTACAGTTCTGTATATAAAAAAGGGAGTCAAAAAGATAGTTTAAAATAATTAACATTCAGTTTCATAGGTAAGGTGGGGTTGCCTACAGAATACAGAATCTGTTTCTATGATGTCAAAAACTAATGCAGTTCAGTTGATTTGTGGTCTAACTTAATCCTGTAGTGAACAGACCCATAAGCCTGATGGCAAATTTATGGCCACATCTGACACAAAAACCATCAACATCCATGCCTACAAAAATATATACTACCTTATATTTCTAGGCATAAAATTCACATATTTTAAACAAAAAAAAAAAAAAAAAAAAAAAAATGGAGTAATATACCAGTGTATAGAAATCTATGGTCTTAATTCCTGCTAATATCTAGTATATCAAGCCCACTGATCAAAATCAATATAGTTTAATAAATTAATGTAAACTCAGTGATGCCATGCTCATAGAATGAGACAGACTTCATATTCCCTTCTGTAGCAATGCTATTGATCCATAAGAGCAGAATAAGAGAAGTTCAATTTCATTCACTGTGATAAATGTATTTATTATGATATTCCGAACATGGCCTGAATATATACGCTTATTACTATAATCCAGTTGGATAGTGGGTGTCAATTAAAATGTTGTATATAATATACCAGTACACCTATAATTCTATATGTAGGAAGGCATATTTTAATCTGAAAGCATTAACTGTTTATGCACTGAGTTATAACCAGTTGGAAATGAAAGGATCCAATATTCTCAGCCAAACATTTGTTTACCATTGACATTATCAAGATAAGTCTCATTCATCCAAGCTCAAATTATTTGGTACCTTAATTTAATAGTTAACTATGTGTCTGTTTGTAAACAGACTGTTATGACCAAATACAATAACTTTGAATTAGGAAAAATACATCTATAGAGATGCAAGAAATTCTGGGCACAAGTCGGAGATAGCTGTCTTAATAAAAACCAGGGGCTGCTCTGTTTCTACATTTTAAGAGTAGGCTATTTATCTACACAGCATTTATCTTAGGTAATTAATGTAACGTGTGTGGTAATAAAAAGGCCTACGTGATTCAAAGGTATGGCAATACACCCTAACAAAAGGCTACTAAAGAAGCATCTGGGGGTTGGAGCTATTTATAAGCCATTTTAAAAGTTAAATTATGCCTTGTGTTTTGAACTTGAAAAGTAAAAAATTGCCATTTAATTTCTGTTGTTTGCATATTATAGCAACTAATGTCTGCCCATGTTTTGACTGAATCAGCAGACCAATGAAAGGGAGGAGGGGAGGAAAACTCTTTCCAAAATGAAAGCAATTAACTGGATCTGCACCAGTGATTACGTTTGAACATTACAGTTTTAATTTGCCTAGTTATTAATAATCTTAGTAGATATGTTTATAACAAGTGCAATGTATATAAATATCCAAATGACATGCAATGTTTGGGACAAATTTATATGTCAAAATTTGTTTATATATCAATATGCCATTTATCATATCAACAAATGCCTCCTATTGTAATTGTATCGGAAAAATACATAACTTATGACAGTTACACATGTGGCACACTAACACCAATATGCTAAAACATACTGGTCTTAAAAATTACTTTCTCAATTGTTTAGTTGATGTGTTCATAATTTAATGAAAAAAATACTATGAACTGTTTTTGGCATAATTCCTTTTTAGTTCAATATATATTATTATTTGAGTTAAAATCCATCTTCAATACAATCCACGTTTTTACTAAATGTGACACAGTGTACAAAAGGTGTTGTCAATCATAATATGCAGCTTCAGCAAATTTTCACTTATCTCGCAAACGTTTGAAGGCAGTTTTTGTGTCAAATGTCGATTCTGACGGTTCAGGTTGAACATCATTGCATTGCATTGACAATCAGCTGATTGGTAGAACTCCCCTAGATTTTGACTTAAAATAAGTATGAATAACCAAAAAAATCACCTTACCTGTGCACTATATCTTCTTCTTCGTAAATTGCAAACGGCTCTGCGAAAGGTCGGCGGAGTGAGGAGAAATTTGCTATTGCATATCACAGCCATGCAACTACGACCGGCTGCCGTCGTCGCCATTTTCTAAATCATATACATCACAGTAGAGGTGTGTCTTAAACAGCCAATCAGATTGCTAGACATTAACATCACGTGGAAACACACGTTTCGCGGAACGGGACCCTGATCGGGTGAATCTTTCTTGTCAGCTTGTATGACGGACAGTGCATTTGTTTACGATGTAAAAGCCACCTTCTCAAATTTTGAAATCAATCAATATTTGATATATATAATTTCCTAACCTACATACAATTATAAAAATACTCGCGTAAATTCGTGTGGGGTGTCTCTGCGATCGTCATAAACAAACCCACGTGGTTTTGTTTATGACGTAAATAGTGTCATAGAACCGGTGCAGATACACACGTGAGATGGAATCGTGATAAATGTAATGGTGTTGGTGCTTCGTTGTTTATCAAAAGATATAGGAAAGTATGACAAATATGTTATAAATGAGGTTAAGAGCAAATTACATGTTAAATTAGTGCGTTTGGACAGAACAATGAATCAGCAGTGGCTTTGTATATAGTGAAGGTTATCATCAGAAATCAACGACGATATTTGCGTTCGTAAACAGGTTATGAATATCTTATGCGCAGGTTTGTGACACAGTTTCCGAGGATTTGTTTCAGATATCCCATTACTAAACTCGTCACTGCTCATTAAAACTGATAAGGAAAATGCTTATGTGTAAAAATATTAGCATTTTTCTTGGATCAAGACATAAATAAGATCGATTGGATGTTTTTGCAATTGTTAATTATCTCTCTATTTACTTAATATTTCATTTATTTACTTATGGGATCTTTGTACTTTCTATTGTATTTTGATGCTGGAAGAAAGAAACAAATATAATAATCAGAAAAAAGAATGAATGAAAGAAAATGTTTTTAAAACATTCTTAACATTATTTTATTGAAAATATTATAGAAAATCTATCTTTTACATATTTACAGTCTGTTTTTTGGTTTAAGTTACACCAAAGATTGGTAACCTAAAACTTTATCAAAATACAAATCAAACAAAAATATGGTAAGTAGGTCAAAGCATAGACCGTACCAACAACAGAAAGCAGCTCTAAGAAAGTAAAGTTCCCCTTCTGCTCTATGTAAACACTTACAATGTATGAGGAAAATAAAACCAAAATCCACAAGCAGTTTATGGTAATGGATAAACAGCTGATTTATGACATCATTCTTCTCACATTAGTCATCCGGTTTACAGGGCACTGCCCTAAAAAAAGTGCCTTGATAACACTGATGTCACAGTGCTTTAGTCCCAGGCTTTCCCATCATTCTTTACTTGATAATCTACACACTGACTCATGGCATAGGTGCCGGAGGTCTGTATTGTACACAGAGTAAACTGATGTTTATAATCTAGTAGTCAATCTGGAGTCAAAAAAAATATATAGTCCAGTTTGCAAAAATCTTTTAATTTCTAGCAAATACCTAATTACTGCCTAATCAATGAATGGTTAAACATCCTTTGTATCTTGAATAGCTATGTTTTATCTCAAGTCGTAGAAAAAAAAACTTTCCTAGCTGCATACAATATTAGGTTAATTAGGCAACTTTTTGCATGCATGCATGTATGTTGTGATTTATAGTCTGCAATAACTGAAGCCCACTGATGTTTACGAGTGATGTCAGTGTATTTTACAATATTTTATACATTCCAAGTTTAGATCAATCTAGTTCGCTCGTCCTTTTCATTGCAGCTCTTGATGATACTCCAAATGTTTTTCAGTTTCACAAATTTATTTCTTCTGTATGTATCTGCCAAGTTCTACTATTATCCATCACAGTTCTCTCAGGTTTCATATTATTTCTCTATATCATATAGCTAAGGATCCACTGCCAGGAATAAAATCTTGCTCATTCCCATTTCCTTATAATGAATGCCAGGCACACAATGTTAGGAAAACTGTCATTTGGAATCAGTCCCAGCTGAACATGAAAAGCAACTGCTTGTCAATGTTTTTTATAGCAGTGATAACTTATCTTCGCCTCATATTTCCCAAACACAGCTGTATCTGCCATACATCTTTACTGCCATTACACCACCTTCGCCCATTGTGCCAGCCTAAGAAGGTTGCATTAAACTGTACTTGTTATATCACATTTCCAGATATACATCTTGAAGGGCAGTCTCACGTGTCCAGCCCCATCATCTGTTTAACCTGGCCTTCCTCGGCTTGCAATGCCTCACTGGCATATTTTTCTAAAAGTTCTTGTTTCTTTCTTTGAAGTAATGCTTCTTCAATCTGAAAGTGAAAGTGAAAGCAAAGATGATCAATGAGGGAGACCCTAAGGACTGTTATTTACTGATAATAGGGTGGTCCACAACCTGACCAGTTTGGTACATTGGAAGAGGTTGTGATAAAACCATATTAATGACTTATTTATACCCGAAAGGTGTTGTAGTCTTAAAAGATTTAGACAACTTCACTTACAATGAAGACGTCAACACCATCAAATAATATTTGATATAAAACACAATCACAAATGCTTAAATTTATTGAAACTATATTAATTAATTAATCAATTACCCCCTAACATAACACAGTGAAATATGGAGTCAAAAATGAGATCACGCTAGTATATCTATACAAATTACGTAAATAACTAAGAACTGCAAAATTAAACATTAAATGGCTGGAACCAATGAGGACCAAA